ACACCCAGCAGCGCTGCTGATGCCTGAACGGTATGTGGAATGAAGTGGGCGGGCATCGGGAGGCCACTATGGCACGGGGCAAGCACTATGGGCAGTCTATCTGAAGTGTACCTGGCGTATAAGATGACCCCCCACTTGGAGGCATATTTTTCAGGGCCAAAAAATCATCTTATACGCCCGCAAATACGGTAGTTTTTATTTTGTTGTTCCTTTAAAACAACTATACCAAGCAATCCCCCCCGCCTTTTTTTTTTGAGAAATGAGAGTTTGAAACAGGAATTGCTTCTGGAGTGCCATTGGCTTGTTTCACCCAGAATTCAAGACCTAGGCTCTCCAGAGAATAAGTAGAGAATACTCTAGTAAGGAGTAAGTAGCAGAGAGTAGATTGCTTAGTTTTTGTCTCAAGATTGATAGGGCAATGTGGTAACTGCTCCAGGGGTTTAGTTTTAAGGTCAGTGTTAATGGACAAAGATATAATATCTTCTTGTTTTGTGATGTATCACACCATTCTGACCTATTGAAACGACTTCAGGCCTCTTCACTGAAGCATTTACTGTTGCCCTGGCATGATGTTCCTGCTTGGAAAATGTTCAGTGTTTATGAGGTCTTTTAGCACAGGAACTATGAGCAGGCCTCACATAATATGACAGTTGAGATATGGAGAAGGGAGTTATTTCTGGAGTGCCATGAATATGTCGTACATTAAATCCAAGATTCAGGCTCTGCCAGAGAGCAGCAGAGCAGAGTAAAAAGTAAGCAGCAGAAAGTAAATTAGAGTTGGATCTGGGCTATGCTACTAACAACAGTGATGATGATGGTGATAGTGTTGTCTCTTAATAATATTAGTAATATTAATATTATGACTGACAGCTTACATTCTTAAGCTAAAATTGATCTAGAACCTTACGTCCATTGTCTCATTTATTTCTCACAATAACTCTGGGAGATAGATTTTATTATTATCCTTGTTTTATAGATGAAGAAACTTTTGATTGCTTTGTGGACACTGTTAAGGTCCAAATAGTGGCCAGAAGTATGTCTACTTTTATACCATACTGTATCATATTCTTCTGACCTATTTAAATGACCTCAGGTCTATCATTGCAGCCTATAGTATTTTCACTACCATTCTGCCACTGCTCATACATTTGGTGGGTGCTTTTGTATCTTTTTAGAGCTTATACTCCAGGCAGCAGCCATCTGTCGGGACAGCTGAAAGATGGCGAGATTTGCTTCTGGATGACCATCAGTATCTTCCAGCCAAGCACCGGAGAGAGGCTTCCAGCAGAAGGCAGGTATGAGCAGACTGTAAATAGGAGTACAGGCACTTACTGAGCTGCGGGTGGTAAGGCTGAGCAAAAAGCAGATTCTTTTTTTTTTTTTAAATTAAATCTTTATTGTTCAGATTATTACATTTGTTCCTCTTTTTTCCCCCCATACCTCCCCTCCTCCCAGTTCCCGCCCCACCCCTGCCCTCACTCCCCACCCACTGTCCTCATCCATAGGTGCACGATTTTTGTCCAGTCTCTTCCCGCATCTCCCACAACCCTTTCCCCCCAAGAATAGTCAGTCCATTCCCTTTCTATGTCCCTGATTCTATTATAATCACCAGTTCATTCTGTTCATCAGATTATTTATTCACTTGATTCTTAGATTCACTTGTTGATAGATGCATATTTGTTGTTCATAATTTGTATCTTTACCTTTTTCTTCTTCTTCCTCTTCTTAAAGGATACCTTTCAGCATTTCATATAATACTGGTTTGGTGGTGATGAACTCCTTTAGCTTTTCC